TGGCCAACTCGGGAGCCAGCCGGAACTCCATTCCTATGCGTTCCTGCCCCAAAATAGCCCTGGATTTATGTATATTAATCAGTTTTTATCATCATATAACTAGATCTAGGTATTCTGCATTATAGTTAAAGTTAAATTCTAGAATACCTTCAAATGACATTATAAGTCTGAATTGTTCATTTACTGTAATCTTCGAACCATTTGTAAAATCTTGACCATGTACTCGGAGATTTTCTTTCTTCTCGTCCTCTCAAAAATCAAGTCAGTGTATCCATCTCAGCCGTTTCAAGGGTTTTGCTTAACATTTCTCCTTTTGAAGGCACTTCGTCTTTTCTCCAGTATTTAGCATACAATATTCTTGCAGTGGTCAAAACACGTATAATGAGATAAAAGTCTTGGGTTTTTTTTTTAGAATTTTCTGGTCTTATGTTCAATAAGAATAATTCAGGTGTAAAAGGTTTAGTACATTCTAACATTTTGTCCGCTTTCTAAGACCACTTAGTGAGCACCGGGAAAAGTGGTGGTGGGCGCGGTGGTGCCCACGGTTCCACTTCTGGGACCCACAGGTTGAGTGTGACCGGCCCAAGGTCACCTAGCAAACTTCCATGGCCCGAGTGAGGATTCGAACCTGGGTCTCCCAGATACTAGTCCGACACTCTTAACCCCCGTACCACACTGGCTCTCACAAAAGGCATATTTCAGAAACCAAGTATGACTGCTCGCTTTGACTCTGGGCACTATGGATGAAGGCCCGGACCCCGTTGTACTTAGGTTGCTTTCGATTTGAGTGTCCATTGGCTTGTGTTGTGGAAGGCGCGCTCTGCTTACCGATGGCTCTTCTTGGAGAGGAAGTGTTCGGAGCCCTTATGAAGAAGGATGCTGCGGACCTTTCACAGTTCCTGAAAGTGAGGATGGAAATTGCCATCAAATCTCCAGTTGTTTGCAGATGTCACATCCCGTTTGGGGGGAGGGGCTGTGGCTCAGTGGTGCAGCATCTGCTTGACATATAGAAGGTCCCAGGTTTGATTCCCCGGCATCTCCAGTTGAAAGGACCAGGTAGGAGGTGATGGGAAAGACCTCAGCCTGAGGCCCCCGAAGAGCCGCTGCCGGTCTGAGTAGACAATACTGACCTTGATGGACCAGGGGTCTTATTCAGCATCAGGCAGCTTTGTGTATTTTTGATGGCTCAGTGGTAGAGCATCTGCTTCACATGCGGAAGGTCCCAGGTTCCAGAATCAGAATGTTAACCGAGGTAATAGTTTGCTGTAACCAGTATTAACTAGTGTTTCTGAGAGCCAGTGTGGTATAGTGGTCAAGAGCGACGAACTCTAATCTGGAGAACCGGATTCAGTTCCGCACTCCTCCACACGAAGCCAGCTGGGTGACTTTGGGACAGTCACAGCTCTTCTAGAGCTCACTGAGCCCCAAAATAGGTCTAGCTCACCACCTAGTGGTGTTTAACACTAAAAAGAGCTAGAACTTCTAGCTGCCAGACAATCTTAGGATCTCCAGACTATGCTACACACAATCCCATATGATGATAACAATTATTAATTACTAGTGCTTGTTTCAGGAGTCCTCTTCTTCATTTTCAGGTTCACGTAAATCCTTGTTTTTATCGGCCATCCGAACACAGCCAGCTTGTGCCGCTGGACACAGACGAATGGCACCGCCTGAGCCCCGGTGACAACTTTTCCCTATTAGTGGACAAATATGTCTTCAGGGTTGTTTTCACTCACGCAGAGACGGACGACCTGAAAAGGTAACAATGATTAAATTCTGTATTGGAAGCAATACTGTTGCTGAACTGCCAGTTATCTTTTTCTGTACGGTAGATCAAGTTCCGTTTTAGCTTACCCAGAGCATGGCTATAATTTTGACTACCTCTGATTGCAGATAATTTTGTAGAGTCTCCAACCTGTAGTCTAGATGGGACTATAAAGATTTTCCCCCTTTTTTGATTATTCATATTTCTCTGGTTTTTATAGATTTATTTTTAAATAAGATTTTACTGGGATATAATGGCCTGTTATATAGAAGGCCTCTCTTTCTTTGTAGGTGAGGGTATTTTTCTAGCTGATGTTCACAGACAAGACAATAGCACTCGTTTGGTACAGAAGAAGGTATAAGGGTCATGGTTCTAATTGTTTAGGTTATAACTTCATAGTGTCTGGGTCAAAAAGGGATTTTTAACTTGGTATCAGAGAAAAACACCTTTGTTTGGGTGAGAACCAGGGGTCCTTTCCTGCAGGGAGCGCACAAGAGCGGAGCTCCGGCAGTAAAGAGCCCAGGGGGCGGGCACATGCAACATGCCCCACCCCCTGCTCCCAGCAGCCCTCAGTCAGAGCAAGAAGCAGACAGGTAAGTTGCAGAGCCCCCCCCCCCCGGTCCAAAGCAGTCCAGTGGCACCTTTAATACCAAGTTTTATT